GTGCAAACTCCACACAGACAGTCGCCCGAGGGTGGAATCGAACCCAGGTCCCTGGCACTGTGAGGCAGCAGTGCCAACCACTGAGCCACCGTGCCACCCATTCAATAGCCCCCTTCATGAAGCCCAGTCTCCTGCTCAGTTCCTTAACTGTCTTAACCTGCTCCTTTTCACGGAGGCAGGGACTGAGACAGGTGAGGTTATTAAAGAGGAAGTCGGTCGTTTTGAGATTGTGGTTGGATCATTCCTCTTGGGGGGTCAGGCGCGGTGGCAAGTTTGTGAATAGCCTGGTTTGGTGTAAAAGGAGAGGACAGTGCTGGTTGCAAGCAATAAAGTTTGTGGGACAGACTGCGGAAGACAGCTTTAGTTTTGTCAATATTCAAATCGAGGAAATGCTCAATGCAAAATTTCAGAGAAGCGATCTGACAGTTAGTGGAGGCTGGGAAGGGGTGGTAAATCAAGTTGGGTGTGGTCTGTGAGAACATGTGAAAAGTGACACAATGGATTTTGCAAGTTCCAGATAGACAGCACCTTTTATGGATTGCACTGATTTAATGTCCAGTTAAAATCCTGTGAGGTTTGAGGCCAAAACCAGATCAGCCATGATCTTCTGGAAAGGAGGAGCAGGCTCGATGGGCTGAGTGGCCTACTCCTAATTCATAGTTTCGAAAAGAAAATGATCGAATGTTTTCTCCAGCAGATGCAAATAGAGCGTTTAATGAGATATTAAAGTGGTAAGAATTTAGTTCCATGTGGAATGAGGGGTTAAAATGAATTTGAAATGCTGAAGTAAACGAAAGAAGATGACAACAAGTGAGATAGCTCATGTTATGATAGCAAAAGTTGTAAGAGAGGGGATGTGATGGATTGTAACTAAAATGTCAATGAAATCATACTCACAGGGTTATACTCCAGTGACTGATACCATCATATTTGCAGATGTGAACATTACTTCTGTGTTGCAAGACTTCCTCAATTGTGTTAGGTTGCCCACTGCCCAATTAAAACATGACAATCTTAACGCTGCTGTTACCACTTTCTGATGTTCAAAATTCCTTTAACAATGCTGGAAAATCAGAAGGGGCCTTTCATGTCTGGAAGCAAGGCTGGGCACGAGACAGGCAATGTTTATATGCAATGTGCAATTAATGACAACATCTTTCAACCTTCAGTTGAAAGCGAACGTTCAATTGTTTGCAGAATTCTGCCTTTGCTTTTGTCAGCTCCCCCTTGGTTTTCGACTCTTGAGGGAGTCTGACTCTGCTGGCTGTTTGCAACTGAGCAGCAACAAAATTGTCCAAAATGGCATAAATATTTCATCAAGTCTTTGTGATGCAGTAGATTTAGCTATTCTTAATGGTGCACTTTGCTAGCTGATTTTTCATACATCATTAAACAGTGGCCATAGCACTTTGCCCTGTTTCTCTGATATACCCTCTGAGTTCCCAGCAACTTGTATCTGCAATAAGTTGTCAATATTCTGTTGAGAAGTAATTGACCTACCTGTGAGATACTGTTAAATGTCTCTGTGTTTCTAAAAGCTGAATTGTTGATTGGAATGGGAAGATTGTATCGTCATAGACTGCAAACTACTGCCACCATCAGGTTTCGGTTATCTGTCTTGTTTCTGTCCCATTGTGGATCTGACTTAATATCTGAAATATTTTCCCCCAAATCAAACTGTTTGCAAATGTTATTACACACCTCCAGACTTGAATGTGAGCCCTCCCGGCTCAGGAAAAGGACACTACTATTTCACCGCAAGACCCATCTGCATTCGAAATCTGATAACCTTTGTATCAACTGAGATGACATGACATGTGTCCTGTTTTCCAGGAATTCGCAGAGCAGTATTGACAGGGTTTGGCATTAATGTCCAGTTTTGAAGATTATTCACCTCCTGAGACTGAAGAAATCCATTGTCACAAGTAGAATTCAAGCAGAATACCTACTGTTGATTCCCACGCACTTTGATGTATTAAATCTTAAACATTTAGGAAAGATCTTCAGAAAACTAGTTTCTATCTGTAAGCAAAATTTCCAAATGTAACTTTCTTTTCTGTCATGTGAAACCCCTGGTTGACAGTACTGATCTCCAGGGAGGTTGTCACCTTATCAACAACTTGAAGTCAAGATGTAAGTTTATAAACAGAGCTGCCCCCCACCAACCAAAAAGCATATTTAAAAAATGAGAAAGCCTTGCCTTCATATAGCCTGTTTCAATATCTCCAGAAAGTGCTTTAACTGGATGTGTAGTCGCTGTTGTAATGTAGGAATCATAGCATCCAAACTGTGTTCCGCCAATTTCCACACACAGTAATGTAATAATGAACAGATAACCTGTGACAACCAGTTAACCAGATAATCTCCCCAGTCAGTGTTCCCCAGAACCTGAGCCTCCATCAATCCAGCAGGCCAAGCAGCGTCAGAAGAGCAGGAAGGCTGAGGTTTCGGGCCTTCCTGCTCCTCTGATGCTGCTTGGCCTGCTGTGTTCATCCAGCTCTACACCTTGTTATCTCAGATTCTCCAGCATCTGCAGTTCCTACTATCTCTCCCTCCATCAATCCATCTGGAGTAATGTGAGTTCCATACCTGTGGGGAACTGCAACAAGATTTATTGAGCATTACTGCACACAGGCAAGGGTAAGGGAGAATGCCTTACTTGGAGCTGCACTGACTAGGCCTCAGTAACAAGGGACCAGATAAAAATTAAACATAATTCTTTCTGCAGATGATCAGTGCCTGTACCCAGAGGAAAGGTACTATTAACACTTGGGGCTCTCGTGCTGCAGTGGTAGTGTCTTTACCTCTCAGCCAGGAGGCCTGGGTTCAAGACCCACCTGATTCAGAGGTGGCTCATAACATCTCTGAACAGGTTGATTGGAAGCTTCTCTCATTAAGACTTTCTTTCTCCTTATAGCGTAGAGGTTTGTAAAATCTAATGTTGACATTAGCTGATCACTGTTTCCTGTTGCCGTTTTTAATCATTGTCCCAAAAGCCCTGGCTTCAGCCTTTTACCAACTACCTTCAATTAAAAGTAGAGGAGTGATTATCCATAATTCCAACAAGGTGCCTGTTTCACCCCAGAGCACCTTATGCGTCACAGCCCTTTCACTCCCCCTTCTCCCTCAAACCACGCAACCTGCTGCTCACCCTCGCCTCCTGCTGGACCAGGTTGTTAGCTGCCCAAGGGCATCTGCAGGAGCTGTGCCGCTGATGGGGATCCCACCGCTGGCCAAGCCTGAGAATGGCCTCATAATCTGACACCTCCCCCAACATAGTGATTGGAATGGGGTCAGCCAGGTATACCTCATAGAATATGAGTTCCATGGTTGGGGCTGTTAACCTGATCCAATCAGGCAGCCCTGGCTGACAGTCAGAAACAGGAGTGTTGGAGGTTCTGCTGACTCTAGGTGTTAGCTGTGAGCTAGCTGGGACAGTGTCATGTATTCTGCACGTGTGGATAAAGGGTGACGTGGTGATGGGATACCAGCCTCGATGGAGTTATTTCACCTCCTACTATTAGTCACCTGGAACCTCCGTTAGTACATCTTTGAGACAGGCTCCTGCTCTCTGTCACTTTAGAATGATGTTGGACACTATGTCATATATGTGTGCTCTCCACATCACCTAGAGAAGGCATTTGCAGCATCTATGGTCTAGAAATAAACGAGCCTCGCCTGAATTTCAACGTGTCTGACTGAGTCAAGTTTTAGAACTAAGTTTTTTAAAAAAAAAGCTCCCTGCTTGTCCTCTTTTCCATGATTAATGGCCTCCCGAATGACCCTTTGGAAATTGAAGTGCATTTCAGATCTTTCATTTTTTCTGTATAAAATTTGTTTTTGTTAGGTGTTTTCTTTGTTACCATTGAATTGGTCCAAATGAATGATTAAACGGGGCAGTGAGAGAAAGATTTCCCAGTGTGGCTATCTTTATCTGGTAATCTTTATTCTTGTCTAACAGCTCCCAGCTAACTTGTTAAATGCTTATCAAGCCTTGCTTGCTGTGGGGAATACATATGGGAACTCAGACTGTACACTGACACTACATCTGTAAGCCCCACCAACATTAACTCAGACACGAAGGGTGCCCTTATATTATGTATTCAGATTTCTTCACTTAAAGGGTTATAAATCTTTGGGATTGTCTAGCCCAGAGAGCTGTAATTATTCAGTCATTATGTTTCAAGGCTCCGATTTTTTGACTTTAACGGAGTCAAGGGAGGTGTGAAACATAACTTGAGGGATCATATGGTTAATTTTAACATGGTGGTTAGTCACTGAGACATATTCACAAGTTACATCCCCTCTCATTTTTCCTAACACTGCATGACCTCAGAGGGCTGTGCATAGCAGTGACTTCAAGAACCGGACATTAATGTGGTCATGCACCGATTGATGTGCACTGACCCTCTGAATAGCTGCATGAGAGGAACGTTGCTCACAAGAGGCTGTAAACGTTCTTTGAGAACAGAACGTAAGTTTATTGCACAAAAGAAAAAAAAAAGCCTATATAAAAGATCTTATATAAAACAACTAGAAAGATCTTAACACAAACAGCAAAACAAAGTTTAAACCCTGAACAAAAACAAAGTTGCTGGAAACGCTCAGCAGGTCTGGCAGCATCCGTGGAGGAGAAATCAGATTTAACGTTTCGGGTCCGGTGACCCTTCCTCAGAAATTCAGATGCTGCCAGACCTGCTGAGCTTTTCCAGCAACTTTGTTTTTGTTCCTGATTTACAGCATCCGCAGTTCTTTTGGTTTTTAAAGTTTAAACCCTTCTTCTTTTCATCACTCAAATGATGTGGGTGCTAGCACTTATTGCCCCGTCACAAGTTGCCCTTCAGAAGGTGGTAGGGAGCTGCTTTCTTGAACTGCTGCAGACCATGTGCTGTAGGTAGACCAATAATTGCCAGGGTCTTGACCCAGCAACAGTGAAGGAAAGGCAATCTATTTCCAAGTCAGGATGGGAAGTGACTTGGAAGAGAACTTGCAGGTGGTAATGTTCCCATGTATCTGCTGCTCTAGTCCTTCAAGATGGAAGTAGTCATGTATTTGGAAGGTGCTATCTGATTCCCAACTGCATCCATTACAGAGATGTAAGCCATGAGAAATATCACTTCTGTCTCAGCTTTTAATAACTTTACTTCCTTGACATGTTCCAGTTTCTTTATTTTTGAACAGTAGAGACCATTGTATGATTCCTGGGTATGAAACTTCTTCAATTCAGATGGCCTAAACTTCCACGTTCTAACAATTTGAAGACCCCTATCCAAACTCTCTGAGCTTAGAATCTCCACAAACTAGAAAAAACCTCTGTTGAAATGTTTGGTTCTTCTGAACTGAACTGTATCTTGCCTCTCCTGATCCTCATTATGCCTTCTTCTCTGAAATAAAAACAAAACTAATGGTTTTAGTTTGTTATAAGGTCATAAAGTCAACAGTATAAATATGTTATTCATTTACAGTTGATTGCGTCACAAGTTTTCTTAGTGGCGATATGCTTAGGTCACTGTTCCAGAAAGGCTTTCTGACCCCACTGGAAAAGAAACTCTTCACAGAACTGACCAAAATCCTTCCACCTCTGTTTTAAAATCCAACTTCGAAAAATGATAATGATGTATCTAATAAGGCTTTCAGCACAGGTACAAAACGGGAAACATGGTACAACCAATGCTCCCTCTAAACTGTACAGGGTGCAATCTGAAGTGATCCACACAGCACAATAAAGAAAATCCACATGCAATAAAGAAGACTTCGAAGGCAGGAACATTCGATAGAAAATCAGACACAATTTGATGGCACAGTTGGGCTGAATGGCTTGCTCCAGCTTCTTTATCTTCTGTCACTGCAGGGGTTTCTGTTCCTGTGTGTGAGTCTGCTTTGAATGCCTGAGCACCAACTTTGAAGTGAAGTGGAGTAACATTGTCTCCTCTGAAACGGTCCATTGTCAAGTGGGTTTTAGACCAGCATCATCAGTATTTGCACTATATAACCGCAGCATTGCAGCAATGCAGTATTTGGGAATCACAGCAATATTAGCAGTGATGAGAGCCAAAATTGAGGCTTTACAAGAAGGTGCTTAGAGACTTGGGGAAATAGCATCAGTAACAAGTTATCTGGCGCCTCGAGTCTGTTGTACTATCCAACTGATCATCTACCTTGATGCCATTTTCCCACACTATCCCCTATCCTTTGATACAGAATATCTGGGCCAAATGCTGGCAAATGGGACTAGATTAATTTCGGATATCTGCTCAGCATGGACGAGTTGGACCAAAGGTTCTGTTCCCATGCTGTACAGCTCTATGACTCTTTGACTCTAAGGTTAGAAACTATACACAAAAAAACAACAAAGGTCCATAGCACCTTTCATAAATTTTAGGACTTTGCAAAGCCAATCAAACACTTCTGAAGTGTAATCATTGTTGTACATAGGGAATGCATTAACCAATTTGCTCACAGCCACCTCCCACAGATGGCAATGTAATGAGGCCCAGATAATTTATTTGCAATTGATTGAGGATGAATATTGGTCAGGACATTGGAGATAATTGTCTCTTCTTTGAAATAGTGCTACATGGTCTTTTAGATCCACCTTAGAGAGAGAAGTTTAACATTTTATCCACAAAGCGCCATATCTGACAGTGCCATACCATCGCCACCAGTGTGAGCCTGGATTTTTGTGCTTAAATCTCTAAAGTGGGACACGAACCCGCAACCCCTGGAGACTGAAGCTCACTAAGTTGCACCTTGGTATTACTACCATGAGAAATAAACATCATCAAAATGTTGCAGATGCCAGGATTCTGAAATCAAAACTACAAGTGTTGGAAATATGCAACAGGTCTGGCAGTACCTATGGAGAGGGAAATAAATTTTCAGAAAACAGTGAAAAACCACAGACTTGAAATGTTAACTCTGTTGCTCTCCAGTCAACACTAGAAAGAGCTTTGTTAAAGATTAAAATATACTCGCAGAGGGAAATGTCAAGACTACCTCTCGAAGCCAGAAACTTTTACTCGCCCAGAAAGTTAGCCCAGGAAAAGCTATGGTTGGAACCTGAACTGACCTTTGACAGTGTGTCTATGAATGTTACATCAATCTTGCGAGTTCCTCAATTATAATTACTGAGAAAATCCATGTCATTTCTACATTTGGGTAAGATGGTTCCCAGTAATTACAACAATCTGGAAAAATAAAATTCCAATGCTCCTATTCATAAACCTCGCTGTAAGAGGGAACACCTTTGACTTATAAAAAGCTAGCCAAAATACGATAAGCTCGGGCATCCTCTAAAGTAAAAATCAGAGGTCAAGGGACTTCAGCGGCCATCCTGTAACAAAGTCAAGTTGGAGTCAAATTTCTGGTTTTCAGTGGATCCAGTTTGTCAAGGTTATGTTTGAAATAAGCACTTAGCTAAATATTACCTTGAAAGTAGGCATGTTGACAATTTGTTTTGCGAGGAACGCCTCTGTTCATAATTTAACATAGCTTCCTGGCAGCTGTGATTCACTGTGACAAACTCATGATTTAATGAAAACACAATGCATTTCGAAGGACTGTGCTCCAGGCATCATTCCAATGCCTGCATGTAGTGACATGTGTAATTTGGCTGAATTGAAGGACCAAGTCCTTGTGTACTTTACCCAACGCAGATATTACACTTTTCTTATTTCGCTCCTGATGTTTAATCGTGTTGGGTTGAAAAATAAACGCAATCAAATAAATAACAGTGCAGCCATATTACATTATCCACGCAAAAATAAATAAACCAATATTGCAGTTTAATGCTTTTCTGTACAAGGCGCCCCTCTAATAGGGAATTACAGTAATGATGATTAATCACTGTAGAAACTAATTGCAGGATTTACTGGAACAACATCTGACATACTTAGCAAAACAGCATATCCGCCTTACTATATATATTCTTGATAAGCTGCGTGCCCAATACTTAAAGGGTTGAGGTAGGGTAGCCTTTCCTAGAGGAGACTTCATTTCTCCGTTGAAGTCTTAGTGATTTACAATAAGCAATATGTTACAGCTTCCTTATTTTCTCCTCTGGGACTGTTGCTGACAGTAAATCTCTATTACAAATATTCTTCCATATGGTTGCATGAAAATTTTATTGCCACTAGCCTTAGGCTGAAGGTCACGGCTCAGTAACTGTAGTTAAGTGTAGCAGTTTTTAGACTGGATGAGCGCAAGACTACATCTGTTCACGAGAGCAGAGGTAGAATTTTATTGTTAATTCGGAACCTTAGAGAATGAATTGCACACTTTTTAATGGCACTGTTTCTCCTGTGGGTAAACGGTGAGACAGTCGCATAATAATGTGCGCTGGTAACGAGGTAATGGAGGAAAATTACAGTATCATCATAAATTTACCATAGAGAGACATCATAAGTACAGAACATAATTTTGCTGTTATTGCCCAACCAATAAACTGAAAAATGAAAGCCTGCGATATTAAATGGTTGGGTTACAAAACCAAAAAGAAAATACAAATCTGACACAAAATAAAACTCCACACATTTTTGCATTCTGGCTGTGATGTCCCACCTGATGATTATATTATTGACACTGTGCAATGCTTGCAGTGTACAGACCAATCACCAACTGCAGGTTAATATGTTTCCTGTTTCTCCGTACTCCATCATTACCAATTCCCTGTGTAGAGAGTAGCTCTGGGTGAGGCACCTTCGTGATTTGAACTCTTTAAGGCCTAATGCAGCATTTTCATGAGAATTCCCCAAATGTTTTGCACAGTTGAAGTGGGTAATATTTCTCAAGGATGAAACAGGTGCACTTTATTTCTGGAAGAACTTCAGCCTGGTTTGTTATGGAACAAAGCGAGTTGAGGTCTGAGGGACATTGCAAGAACTAAATGGCAATCTCAATTTCAGTGGAGTCCTGCCATTGGTAGACTCGTAAATGTTAACAGCACAGAAACAGTCTATTCGGCCCATCGTGTCTGCACTGCTTGACAAAGATCTGACTTCACTCACCCCATTTTCCAGCTCTTGGCCCATAGCCCTGGAGGTTTTGGCACAGCAAGTGAATATCTAAGTCCTGCTTAAATGTAATGAGAGTTTCTGACACAACCACACTCTCAAACAGTGAGTTCCAGACTCCCACTGGCCTCTGGGTTAATAAAAAAAAACTTCCTTCAACCCTACTCTTAGCCTTCTATCTCATACCATCAATCTATGCCCATCTACAGTCTCTCCTGACCCCTCTACTAATGGAAAAAGTAACTTCTTATTCATCATCTATGCTCCTCATAATCTTACACAGCTCTATCAAGTCTGCTCTCAACCTTCACTGCTCCAAGAAAAATAACCCCAGTCTATCCAATCTTTTTTCATAGCAAAGACCCTCCAGCCCAGGCAATATCCTGGTAAATATCCTCTGCATCTTCTTGGATGCAATCGCATCCTTCCTATAATGTGGTGATCTGAATTACACACAGTACTCCAGTTGTGTCCTAACCAGTGTTTTATATAGTTCCAGCATAATCTCCCTGCTCTTGTATTTCACATCTCATCTAATAAAGCCAAGTGTGCCATATGTCTTGTTAACCACCTTTATCTATCTGCCCTGCTACCTTCAGGGGTCTGTGGATATAGACGCAAAGGTCCCTCTAATCTTCAGGATTTCCCAGGTTCCTACCATTCAGAGTGTAATCCCTTGCCTTGTTAGCCTTCCCCAAGGGATCTCTCACATTTCCTGGTTGAATTCCATTTGCCACTGTCCTGCCCAACTGACCAGTCCATCAATATCCTCCTGTAGTTTGCAACTGCCCTCCTAAATATTTAACCCTCATCATTTTTCCTGTCAGCTGCAAAATTCTTGATCATATCTCCTTACATTTCTATCCAAATCATTAATGTACACCACAAACAGCAAGAGCCCCAGCACTGAGCCCACTGGAAACAGAATTCCAGTCACAGAAACATCCCCGTACCATCACCCTCTGCTTCCTGCCTCTCAGCCAGTTTTGGATCCAATGTGCCACTTTGCCTTGGATCCCATGGCCTATTACTTTCTTCACCAGTCTGCCATGAGGGAGCCTATCAAAAGCCTCGCTACAGTCCATCAAATGCACTACCCTCATTAACACTCCTGGTTAGCTCCTCAAAAAATTCCATCAAATTTGTCAACCTCAAATATTCCTTAAAAAATCCATTCTGACTGTCCTTGATAAATCATAACTCTCCAAGTGCAGTCATATTCTGTCCCGCAGAAATGCTTTCTAATAATTTGCCCATGATTGAGGTTAGACAGACTAGCCTGTCATTTCTTAGTCTATTCCTTCCTTCCCTTCTTTTTAATAACAGGACGATGTTAGCAGTTCTCGAGTCCTCTAGGAACTCACCTGTGGATA